TACATACTGTTACCATGTTTAGAATAGACAACGGCCGACATAGATGTTGAGGAGCTGGTGATGCTTGATTGATGCAATGCCTGATTGACGTAAAATATTCAGTGAAATTGACATTGGGATCCATTCCACCCATCCGAGCGACCGTTCCCAGCATGTGGTGGTGAGCGGCCATCGCACGGCCTTTTTGGGGAGAGAAAAATCCTGGTGTGATTTCGTTCAGGAACTCCTCCCGGGTCACATCTCTGAGGACCGAAAGAGATGTAGCGACTCCATTAACTGAGAAGAGCCGGTCGAGAAGATGATGTTTGACTGACGCAAAAGATGCATCACTGATCTCTTCTCCGACATCGTAGCTCGTTTCCTCGCGGAGATAGTCGAAGAATTCCTTTTCTTCGTCTATGATTTGGGATAGTTTGGCAGCCAACTCGACATCCCGGCTCCCTTCTGGCCTTGGCGGGAGATCCAGAATGGCCGCTTTGCAGATGCGCAGCAGATCCGGTGGAGGCTGATAACGAGCGATGAATCCGCCAAGGGCCGATTTCATGGCCATCGAATACACTAGCGTCAACATGAGCTCTAGATCGGAGAGGAGCCGACCCTGTCGAAAGTCGTATCGATCCTGAATCGACGTTCTCCAAGGAACAATCTCGTACACTTTGAGATCACAGCGGGTGCACGAGGACAAGAAGTGGGTGAGCCGTGTCGTCGCCTTGTGAGACAGGTCTTCACTCTTCCTAACCCCAGGACATCGAGTGGTGGTACCAAAATACACGTCAGTTACGGTTGGCCCAGTTCTAGCTGATGAGCAAGGTTCAACGATGAACGATGCATCAGGGAGTCCACATTGCTCGAAGATTGTTTTGATCAACTCCGTAGCCATTTCAGCAGCCCCATGCTCTGCCATCCGTTAAGCAGCCCAGGCCATGTCTACCGGCTGGGCCTCCATATAACGGCGAAACTCTTCCATGGCTTGATCCCGTGGGCGAGAATAGAGTCGGAGATAGTATTGTTGCATTTTGTCACTCGAACTGAGGTTCTTGTCGTTGACCTCCCGGAGTACGTTGCGATAGTCTTCCGCCGAGAAATTGTCGGGATCGCTGGCGAGGTGACACAACATATCCGCTACACGCTCGATATACTGGGATAAGTCGGTGGTATCAAATTGAGGTGGTTCGATTTCTTCGAGCTCTGCAACTTTATCGGAAACTCGCCGAACCTTGTCCAGTGAAGATAGGGATGCGTGGTCATACACTCGTCTCGCAAAATCCGCCTTTTCCCGCAATAGCTCATATGCTTGTTTGTGGAATGCATGGGCGTTGGTGGTAAGCTCCTGCGCATCCTGGACGATACCCAGCGGTGGTAGATTTGCCTGCACCGAACTAAGTGCACCATTATCTGGTTGAATATCAGTGTCAGTGTCAGATGGTGATGATCATGGGTGGTACTAACCTGGTCCAGCAGGTCTATGAGATTGAAGGGGATTTGGCCACGTGGATGCTAGGATAATTGTCAATGATGGGATTGCTGTCAATGATTCGAGACCTACCTGTTGCAGAGGCAGTAATGAG